ATGTATTCATTGTCTGTGTCCGTCCACGTGTCAGAGACATTTGCTGCTCGACAAGTAACGATGTTTCTCCACGTTTTCCAGGACTCTTTCAGCTTTGTGCACTGTGCAAGTGGGACGTGAGTGGAGGTGATCTGGCATGCGACCCTCCGGGTCTCCCTTCCCCCCTTAGGGGCTTGGTGAGCCCCCAAGCGCTGCCCATCCCCTGCTAGGGAGAGTCCCCAAGCCCTACCCAGAGATGGTGGGGCCTCTGTTGGCGGTGGTCTTTGATCAACTCTGTGGAGCAGAGCCCCCCCACCCTCCTGTCATGTTAACCACAGACACTCCAAGGTGAGTTAACTTGTTACCACAGCATAAACCCGTCCTAAGACACTCCATCAAATGTAAGCTCCTCAAAAGCACAGACCTTGTCTGTTTCTTGCACCACTCCCCCCAGCACCCAGAACAGTCCACTCAATATTTGTTGAATGAACAAACGAGTGAAGGAAATCTTCCCTTCTGTTTTATAACAACAACAGAAGTTTGTAATTTGGCAGAGACTATGGCTACAACAAATTATTTTGTTTCATCTGAGAATCTAAACACTAAAAGCAACTGGATGATGGAACCAAAGAATGATTTACTAAGGTTGTGGCTACCGGGCCGTGAACTGAGAAGTCCTAGGTGCCCTTTTGTGCTCTCTGTCCAGCAAGCATGATGTGGTTGTGAGGAGCAACCTGGAAATGCCACCTGCTTTGGTTTGGTAACCCCTGAGTTGTGACGATTCTTGGCCATGTATGTTTTGGACAATGGCAATTGTTTGGAAAGGTTGAATCATAACTGTGCAATTCATTCCTTTATCCAAAAAAACCCACAAACAGTAGATTGAATCATGGTGTTGGGGCAAGATCAAGGTTCTTTTTCAATTGTTTTCTTTTGAGTTCAAATCTGGTTTGGAAATAGGATTAGCCCAGAACAGGACAGGTTTGGGACATTATGCATAAAACAGGTTATCTTGTCAATTTTGTTATAATAATGATAATAAATAGAAAAAGGAGAAGGATGGGGAGAAAAGGAGGAGGAAGGAGACGAGAGATGACTATGATTGTCATCCGTCTGCTCTATTTCTTCCCTCTGGAACAATGCAGACCAAGCCTTGGAAACCCTGAGCCGTCTCTTCTCTGAGCTGAGTATTGACAGCTCTCTCAACAGCCCTTCATGCAAGTGTTTTCAGGAGTCACTCAAAATGTCACTGAGGGTGACACTTCCGTGGTGTCAGGAAAGAACAGATGCTCCAGAGCCACAGTACCTGGGACTGGCACAGCGAGACCCCATGACCTTACTGCCTGAACTCAGTTTCCCAATCTGTGAGTGGGTCACACCCCTTACTGCCTAGGGCTGTTGGTGGGTGGGGGTGAGGAGAGGAGGCGGGTGCCAGCCTGGGCTGTCCAGGGCCTCCCACCTCTGGCCTGGAGGTGCTCCGCTCTCTCCTTCATCAGAGCCATGCCCGTGGGGCCTCAGCTCTGGGAGAACAAGGGACACGGCATCTTTGATTGGGATGTCGTCTTTGTTGTTAATATGGTTTAAAACTTCTGGGCTGTTTTACCCCACAATTGGCTCACATGAGCTTATAGTCATCTAAAATAAGGTAATTTCAGATGAGAAGGTGGCATGAAGAAGGGGGATTTGGAGCAACAGAATACCAATGATGCCATTTAAATTCATTCACTTAAATATTTATTGAGCACCTGCTGTGTACTAGTCACTGTTCTAGCCTCTAGGGATACAGAGCGAGCACAACGGATATAGGTCAGTGCTGGCATTTCAATGGGGAGAGACAGGCAGTAAAACAGATAAATCAACAAGACAAGAACAGATTACAACAAGAATTTTGGAGGAAAGAAAGCAGGGTAAGTGGTAGAGAGTGCATGGGAAAGGACTTGAGTGGAGATAAGGTGTGAGAAGAAGGCGCCAGCCACAGAAGATCGAGGCAAGGGTCCCAGCCCTGAGGAAGGGGAGGGCTCGAGGGGCCGTATATGGCTATGTATGTGGAAGGAGACTTTGAGGTGGGGGCTGAGGTCAGAGAGTGGGGCATGGCCCAGGTCATATGGCGCCTCGCAGAGCAATTTATGGACATGAGGATTTCTTCTAAGTGTGGCAGGAAGCCATGGGAAGATATTAAACAGTGGGTGGTGTTGGGGAAATAGAATTAAAACTAAAATCTTCCAACCCTGAAAACCTCTCTAGGTAGTAGAGAAAGAAAACACTTTTAATATCGAATGGACAGTAAACTAAACTGTGATACACATCACAGGGAATTCGCTAAGAGACCGCAAAGACAGAAGGGAATCCCACCCCCTTATACAGCAGGGCCGTGCACCCCAATACACACGTGTTCTCAAGATAAATGTCACTAGTCCTCCAGTAGGAGGACTCGATGGCGCCATTTGTCATGCACAGTTCATCCTAACTTTCCCTGGTAATCAGGGAGACTATCTGTGTTAGCTACTTGGCTTTACCCAGAGGAACACAATTCTCCTCTCTTTATGACGGCAGGTAGCTCTGCACCTTGATCAAGGCTCTGGCGGAGCGCGGCTCCTCCTGGCTCCTCCCCGCTAGGAAATGAGGGGCGCTGTCTCCCTTGCTGTTCGCCTTTCAAAGAGGTGGCTCCCAGGTCCTTGAAAAAGACATTCCTGGCCTATGAAGCTGGCGAGAGGCTTATTCAGCTTCTAAAAAGATTTACACACGTTTCAAAGAGACGGAGAAAGATCATACAGAGAAAAATTTTGTCAAGTGCTCAGGGTAAAAGAAGGGGAGAGAAATCCCTTGCTTTATTTTCAACAAGGGGGATTAAGCCTCTTATTTGTAATTATTTGTCCTTACGGTGGCATGGTCTGACTTGTTTTAGGAATGTCATCTGGGTGCTCAGAGAAGAATGAACTGGAAGGGAGCAAGCGCAGAAGAGGACCCCGTGGGAAGCCGTTGGTGGTGCTTAGTTGAGGGGAGTGATGGTGGGGATGCAGAGTGGGACATATTGAGAGACGATTGGAGGTGCGCCCCGGGGGGCTTGCTGAGGTCTTGGCCCTGAAGGAGAGCGGAGAGTCAAAGGTGCCTCCCAGGTCTTGGGTTGAGCAATTCTCAGGAGGGCGATGCAGCATTGGGATGAATGGCTTAGAGGAGAAAATCGAGAGTTCTGTTCTGGGCGTGTTAGCCTCAAATTCCTATTAAGAATCCAAGTTTGTAGGTCAAGGAGGCGGTTGGATTATGAGTCGAGAGCTCAGAGCCAGGGCTGGAGACTTTCACTTGGGAGGAGAAGCTGGTGAGGTCAGAGGAGAACTGAAGCGTGGGGGTCCCCGGGACACAGCGACAAGGAAGAGAGTGTTGGAAGGAGGGGGTGGCCAGGCAGGGGGTGGGTCTCCCCACAGCAGGGTTGGCGGGGCCCAGACAAGAGCAGTTCCCGGAGTGGAGGTGACGGAGGCTCACCTGGGTGCGTGGAGGTGAGTGGAAGCAGGAAGCCCTGTCCGAGAGCAGACAACCCTGAGAGGAGTCTCAAGGGAAGGAGAGTAGAGAAACGAGGCAGTAACTGGAGGGCTGCAGCTATGAGAAGGCTTTGGTTTTGTTGTTATTCAAGTATTGGGATATTTGCAAAATAAGTCACAGGTGCAGATGGTAAACACCCAAGCAGTACAAGACCCTTCACTCTCGCCCCACCCCCTGCCCTTCCCCAAACTAAGGGACAAAGCACAGGTAACAGCTAGAAGGCTTTTTTTTTTCCCCAAGAGGAAGATCAGCCCTGAGCTAACGTCCATGCCAATCCTCCTCTTTTTTCTTTTTTTTGCTGAGGAACACCAGCCCTGAGCTAACATCTATTGCCAATCCTCCTCCTTTTTTTTTCCCTTTTTCCTCCCCAAAGCCCCAGTAGATGGTTATATGTCATAGCTGCACGTCCTTCTAGTTGCTGTATGTGGGACGTGGCCTCAGCATGGCCGGACAAGCAGTGCGTTGGTGCGCGCCCGGGATCCGAACCCGGGCCGCCAGTATCGGAGTGCACGCACTTAACCGCTAAGCCACGGGGCCGGCCCTGAGCTTGAGGGCTTTTTGGATTGTATTTGGTTCTTTTGGGTGGGGGCTAAATACAGTGTGGGGTACTGGAGACGAGGAATGATCCAGCACCAAAGGGGTACTGATGATGGAGGAGAGTGAAGGTCAGGTGCAGGCACGGCTGGGAGAGGCGGGGTCCTGGGCCAAGGGGAGAGCGGGCCTTTGCTGGGAGCAGGGACACCTGGCACAGTCACAGAGGGACAGCAGGAGGTGAGGGCCCAAGGCAGGGCCTGGACACCTGTGATGGCAGCGTGGGGGCTGGCCATGCTCTCACAATGAAATCTGTGTCACAGCCACATTCATCCCAAAGATCGGCCGGCCACAGTCGTGCTCCACACAGGAGGGGGCCTGCCGGGCCCCTCCCCCCTGCCCTCACCCACCTGCAGGCCAGGTGACGTGACTCTCGGCTCCCACTCTGACCAATGCCCTGCTTCAGACTGTCCTCACTGGACCCTGCCCGGTTCCTCAGGCCCCTGAGGACAGACCCTGGGGGCCCAGTGCTGCCTGACGAAAAGCTGCGAGGGCACGGAGGGTCCTGGGTTGTCCTGGCTTCCTGTCCTTCCGCCCCCAGGAGCAGCACTCTGAAGCTGCCTGAGCGGTCTGCGTGGTCTCACTGAGGGACCTCTGCCCTAGAGGCCAAATCAAATTTGAGAGGAGTGCCTTGGCCTCTGCTTTCTGAGCCACTTGTCTTCAAGACTCAGCCTCCTTGGTCACCGCCCCCTGGACAACCGGAAATGGAGCTGACGTCCCAAAGTCTAGATGGAAGACAAATGTCTCCCAACACCAGAGGCTTTGGGGAGGCCTTCACTGCTGTCAGGATGATAACCGGGGTGGGGTGGAAGACACAGCAGGAGAGGACTGGAGAGGATGGGGGTGGAGGGCTGCAAAAGGAGCACGCGCACACCTTCGCTCAGCTGGAAGACCTTTATTGGTCTCCTTGTGTCTAGCAAGAGGGCAGGGACTTGGGGGGGCGGGTCTTGGGGCCTGAACGGGAGTGGGGGCATGCACTGATCCGCAGAGAAGCAAGGGGGCTCCAGGAGCAATCCTCTGGGGAGCTGGAGAGCAGGGCGAGGGCACAGCACAGGGAGGCCAGGCGCAGCAGCTTCAGCGAGCAGTCATCTGTGAGGAGGACACAGGGCAGTGAGGCCCTGTCCTCCCCGCGGCCCAGCCTCCCCGAGAGCCCCCAACTCTCACCTTGGCCAGGCTCGGGGGGTATCTGGCTGTGAGGGACTCGTCATCCAGCAGAGGCCTCACCAGGCATGAGCGGCGGTGGGAGAAGGTCTCGAAGCTCTTCTTGCCATGGTAGGAGCCCATGCCGCTGTTCCCTGTGGGGAGCCGGCTCAGGCCCAGGCGGCCCCAAGACCCCTAGACCCTGCCCACAACCCTCACACACCCCTTCTACAAGCCTCCCCGGGGGTGGCCGATCCCCAGGGCATCCCCTGGGGTGTCCACACTGGGGACAACAGAGAGAGTGCCCAGGAAGAGTTTAATCCCAGCTATGCCACTAGATGGCTGTGTGACATCTGGCCCGTGTACCCTCTCTCAGGGCCTCTGTGAAGCAGGCCCTGTGCACCAGGGGACCTTTAGGACCCTCTAGGGTCTTGAGGTTAAACGTAGCTGATGGATGTGCTGGCCGAGGCCGGAGGCCCACTCGGGAGAGGTTAGTGGGAATCTGAGCCCCCGAGGCCCCGGGCTGCTCCGGCCCCTCCTGAATTCCCAGCCCAGGGGTGGGAGGGGACAACTGCAGGGGGCAGGTAGGCGGTGACTCACCTACGCCCCCATAGGGCAGAGAGTGCAGGGTGAAGTGGACCACGACGTCGTTGGCTGTCACCCCACCGCTCGAGGTCTCTGCAATCATCTTCTTAATCACCTGCAACAGCACCCAGGCCCTGGCCTCAGTCTCCCACCCCACGACACCCCACCCTGTCCAGGCAAGTCCTGGAGCCTCAAGGACCTGAGCGGTGGAGGTACGGCCCCAGCCACAGTCTGCTCCCCCTGAGCCCCCTTGGGGTCCCCCACTCTCCCCATGTGTCAAGTATTTTGTAGGGAAAGAGTGAGAGCAACAGTTCCCATGACTGCGTGCAGGGCACTGTGTCGATGATCATCTCATTCAATCTCTGTGGTGATGTTACTGTCCTGATTTCAGAGCTGAGGAGAAAGGGGCTCAGAAGGGTTAAGTGACTTGCCCAAGGTCACACAGCAGTGAGTGGTAAAGCTGGACTTGAACCCAGGTCTGCGCACCTCTGGATCCTGTTCCTGTGAGTGCTGGGCCCCGGAGCCCCAGGACCCAGGGAGGAGGGCACCCCTGGCCCACCTTGTCATTTAGGGAGAACACGTAGAGAGCCAGAGGCTTCTCCCGCTGGTTGATGAAATGGATGGCCTCCTCCAGGCCGCGCACACACACGATGGGCATTATGGGCCCGAAGATCTCCTCCTGCATCACCTGGGACTGGGGGTCCACGTCAGTGAGGATGGTGGGGGCTGAGGCAGGAAACAAGCCAGAGTCAGCCAGCACTGAGACCCCCGCCCGCCTGCCCCGCAAGTCCAGGCATCTAGCGCCTCCTTCAACTCCTTTACAGACGAGGCTGCGAGGCTGAGAGAGGGGCAGAGACGAGGCCCCGCCCAGCCTCCACTCTGGCAGACCATGGGGAGAACTATGGATCAGCCTAAGGATCCACACCTCCAGGGGGCAGGCACCACACTCTGCCAGCCACCTGAACCCCTGCCCGAGCTCTTCACTCTCCCAGGTAGGGCCCCACCTGTGACCCTCCAGCCTAGGCCCTGGGGTCCCCTCCAGCTCCGCACACCGGGGCTCTGTGGGCTCTGCTGTCCTCATCCCCTGCTGATGCCGCAGGGGTCGGAGGAGATGATGCCCCTCTCTGGGCCTTGTGAGAAGAGGGGCTGCTGGGTTGGGGAGGGGTTTCCCAGGAGCTGTGCCCATCCTCTGCCTGCCAAGAGCCCCACCTGCCCCAGGCTCACTGCTCAAAGCAATTTATACCCACCACGGGCTTGTGTCTGCTCTTCGAGTATCTAAGCCCAACTGCCGCCAACTTGTCGGGACCCTGGCAGCCCTGACGGGCAGGCGGTGCTCTTCCAAAGGGCGAGCGCACGCACCTATGTATCGGGTGGCTGCGTCCCCAGTGCCTCCGTAGACGACCTTCTGGCCCTCCATCAGGCCCATCACTCTCTGGAAGTGGCGAGAGTTAATCATTCTTCCATAGTCACGGGACTTCTTGGCATCTTCCCCGTAGAACTCCTGTGGAGAAGGGGTGGCAGGCTTCAGGAAGGACGTGGACCCTCGTCATAGCCAAAGGCTTTGAGGTGGCCAGCAACCCTGCCCTGGGAGCACACGTGGGCACCGCCTGGCCAGTGCAGTGGACAGCGGCTCAGTGACACCAAGGACTACCGGGCTGCCGTGACATCTGGGGTGCTCCCCGGCTTTCAGGGCACATGAAGTGCTACGGGACAGCGTGGTTTGGAAGAAATATATACACAGCTGTCTGGACACCACAGCAGGAACAAACACACGTATTCACAGAAAGGAAAACCAACAGGTTAGCAGTGACTATCTTTGAGTGTCGGGATTCTGGGTGGAGCTTTTCCCCTCTATGCTTTTTAACCTTTTCCAAATTATGTAGTGAACGTGTATTACTGAAAAAAAAAATCCAGTACTTTCTAAAGTCCATGCCTCACAGCCTCTCCCTCACCCCCAGGAGCCAACACTCACTTTTAGGGACTTTTTGAGCTTCTCCACGATTTGGTTCTGGATGGAGGGGTCACAGAGGATGTAGTCAGGGGCCACGCAGGTCTGGCCGCAGTTCATGAACTTCCCCCAGGCGATGCGTCTGTGAAAATCCCAGATGAGACTGCATTCTGAGAGGCCTGGGAGGCTCCCTGGGAACAAGCCTCTCATCCATTCACTCGAGATCACGCACAAGGGGCCGAGCACTGGAGGAGGGCTCACTGGTCAGTCGGCAGGAGCCAGAAGCTGTGAGCTCTCCCCCAGAGGGCTCCCTCAGCCCCGGACTCGTGTCTAGACTCCAGGCTGAGCAGACCCACGTCCCTGAACACGTAGGGGTGCCCGTGGCGCCACGCATCCCAACCTCAGCAGTGACCGGTGGGGGATGTGGATGTCCGAGAGGGGGCAGCCTTTGTGAATCTCCATTCACGCCCTGGGCCCTGCGTGGCCAGATGTCACCTCTGCTCAGGGCCCCCACACCCCGGAGGGCCATGTACATGAGAAATAGAAGGCAGGCAGAGCTCTGGCTAGACCTGTCCTCTGCAGGAAGCCCTCCCAGACTGCCTGGACCCCTTCTGGGAACGTGTCACCCACCCACCCCCAGATCCTGCCCAGGACTGCAGGCTCCCTGAGGGCAGGGACGATGCCTGTGTCACTTGGAGCAGAACTGCAGCCCCTGTGAGCTGGAAGGCAGCCAGAATGGCCACTCCAGCGCAGACAGGCCCGAGCCTCCGCACCTGCAGGCAAGGTCCAGATCGCAGTCCTTGTCCACGTAGCAGGGGCTCTTCCCCCCCAGCTCCAGGGTGACGGGGGTCAGGTGCTTGGCCGCGGCCATCATGACGATCTTCCCCACGCCGGTGCTCCCCGTGTACAGGATGTGGTCGAATCTCTCCTTGAGCACCTCCGTGGTCTCGGAGACACCCCCATTGATCACCGCGTACAGATCCTTCCAGGCAAGAGAGGCGAGGCTCAGAAAAACCCACAGCCCCTCCTCACCCTGCCCAGGCGGCCACTGCCAAGTGGCTGGAGGGCACCCCAATGGGAGAGGCCAGCTGCTCCCGCCCCCACCTGGGGCTTGGCCCCTCGCTGCAAGAATTCACTATTTGTCAACCCCCAAGGTCCTGACCCCACACGGTTCTCCTTGAGCCCTGAAGAGAACCTCACCTTGTCCAGGTACTGAGGGATGATGGTGGCCAGCAAGGTCGCCATGTTCTCGCTTAGCTCCGAGGGCTTGATGACCACTGCGTTCCCTGCACAGCACACAGATTCGGGGTCACGCCCGGGTGGCCCCACTCCAGTGCTCTGCCCTCCCAGCAACACCCCTGGACCCTCCCTCCATCTTCTGTGTCTTCGGAAGAGTGGACAGAAGAGCTACGCGCGCACGCCACAGGAGCACGCACATCACGTACACGGCGCATGCCGCAGCCGCACGCACATCAGCACATCACACACACGGCGCACACCGCAGCAGTACGCGCATCACGCACACGGCGCACGCCGCAGCAGCATGCACGTCACGCACACGGCGCACACCACAGCAGCTGCACCACCTGCCCCTCTGAGATGTGGGAGGCAAGGGGAGAGAAGGGCTCAGGGCCTGGTTAGAGAGCAGAGCCTGGTACATCTTAGCTGAGAGCAGCCCAGCTCCCCACACAGGCGGGGAGGGCCAGGCTCTGTGGACATCTGAGCCTGGCTGGGGGTGGGGTGGGGGAGGCCTGGCTAGATAGTTTGGCCCCCGCAGCCTCCTGTGAAAGACAGACGCGTCAAACCATTAGCTGACCCCAGGATCCCTCTTCTCGCAGGCCTGAGCCGCCCTGGCCCCACTCTGCAGTGAGGGATGATGATCCCTCATGACTCCCCCCTTCCAGAACGCAGCCCATGGTACCTGCAGCAATGGCGCCCACCATGGGCTGGATGGTGAGGTTGAAGGGGTAGTTCCAGGTGCCGATGACGAGAACCACGCCCAGGGGCTCCCAGTGGATGTAGGACTCATCCAGCTGGGTCTGGGGAGTCTTCTCCACAGGCTGGTCTGCAGCCCACTCGGGGAGCTTCTTGATCATGTACTCGATCTCCTCCAGGACATACACCACCTCCTCATAGTACGCGTTCCATTCATTCTATGGTGAAAGGGCTCCATGTGAGCTCACTGGCCCCCGAGTGAGGGCTGTGCATCCCGGGCTCTGAGTGGGGAGTCACCGGGGCTGCCTGTGGGTCCTGGCTCGCTGCTCCCTAGCTTTGTGACCCTGAATGAGCTGTCTCCCTCTCCTAACCTCCTACAAAATGGGAGTGTGATCTGTACCTCATGGGGCTGTTGGGTGGGCATGTTGGTCAGCAGTCAGGGTGATGGGGGCTGTTCACTGTGGGCTCCCCAGGCCTGGAGGCTGGGCCAGAGAAGGCACATG